CCACCCCTCTCCCCCGCTCCCCAAAATAGTGTTCTTCTCAGTCCAGATCCCTGTAGATAATCAAAGGGTTAACTCATGTTAACTCAAGAACAGAACCTGAGGCTGTTGTATGTGTACCTGGCCTTTTAGATCATTCCCCTTTGAGGGGGTGGCTCAGTGGTTAGCACTGCTGCCTCACAACACCGAGGACCTGGGTTTAATTCCACCCTCGGGTGACTGTCTGTGTGGAGTTTGTACGTTCTCCCCGTGTCTGTGTGGGTTTCCTCCGGGTGCTCTGGTTTCCTCCCACAGTCCAAAGATGTGCAGGTTAGGTAGATTGGCTGTGCTAAGTTGCTCATAGTGTGCAGGCTAGGTGGATTAGCCATGGGAAAGGATGGGTTGGACTTGGGTGAGTTGTCCTTTGGAGGATCAGTGTAGACTTGATGGGACAAAATGGCCTGCTGCTACACTGTAGGGATTCTATGACTCTATCTACTGTGTGCATACAATGTTGTGACTCTGCCTGACAGCTTAGTTACACTCACAGGAAATCAATTGTTTTGCTGCAATGCCTGATTCATAACTTATACTGTGTTAAATAAACTAACTCATAGAGTTAATCAACCCATCTTTGAGTGAGTGGTTGATTATTCCCAAGCCTGCCTTCTCGTCACATGGCTCAACTTACTTACTAAAGCTACTGGGGTGCTTTGGGCATCGATTTAATTGGATTTCTGGGAAGAACAATTTTTCTGAGCCCTTGAGTTCTTCAGAGAATGAGGTTTTCAATCACAGATTTGTTGGAGCATCGACGGAGGCCACTTGGCCCATCGAGCCCTCAAATTAGTACCGACTGGCCCCTGTCCACCTTCACCCCATAACTCTGCACCTACTTCCTTTTCAGATGGTCATCCAAATCCCTCAACTTGAACCACCACACTTTCAGGCCATTCATTCCTCGCTGAGAGAAAGGTTTCTCTTCACATCGCAATTCCTTCGATCTGCAATCTGTGCCGTCTCGTTCTCAATCCTTACACTAATGGGAGCTGCTTCTCCCTGCCTGCTCTGTCGGGACCCCCCACCCACCTCCCAGGTTTTGAAAATCTCGATCCTGTTCGGAAGAAAACTGTCCTGCCTTCACCAATTTACCCACACGGGCTGAAATTCCTCATCGCGGAAACTGTTCCCTTTCTCCCCAGGCTGGGATTTTAATTGGTGTGAGGCCATCACACACCATCTCCAGTCGGATTGGCAACATGTCCAATCTATCCCAAGTCTTCAGGCTAAAGGATACACAGGATGAGGCAAGCTGTGCATATGAGACAGCAGACTATCCGAACCAACCCGATCCACTTGCCTCCGTGCCTAGGTGTGATCTTGTAGGTCAGTCCCACTTGCAGCCAGAAGTAGAGATTGCCAATATAGAAGGCGAGAAAGGCTCCCACCAGGTGGACGTGAATTTGGTTGACAGTCTGTTGAGGTAAAGGATCGAGAAATTAGTTCCTCCTCTGGAGTTTGTGTTTTTAAATTCTCTTCCCTCTGAGACCACTGAATTACCTGCGGCAACATTATGTGAGCAGACAGTAATGAGTGATAGGCACATTCAACCAGATTATTGCCAACAAACCCAGCAAATGCTGGAGAAACTCAGCAGGTCTGGCAGCATCTATGGAGAGAGAGAAACAGTTAACATATGACTCTTCTACAGAAGAGCTGTCAGCTCTGGCGAAGAGTTATCTAGACTGGAAATGTTAGCTCGCTCTCTCTCCACTGAGGCTGCCTGACCCGCTGTGATCTCCAGCATTTTGCTGCTTTCAGTACACATTCCAGCATCTGCAGTAACTTGCTCCTACAGTTCTACCAGACTCGAGACTTAATTCTGTTTCTCCCCCCACACCCGCCACTGAGTTTCTCCAGCACTTTTATTCCCGCATTTGTTACAGCTTCCTGGCAGAGTTTTGTTTTTATATGAGAGACTCCGTGGGAGGGGACCAAAAGAGAAAACGATGGGAAGTGAGAAATGAGGACTTGGATCAAAGGGAAAGCTGGAGGCGTATTCACAACATCCTTAGGGATAGTGGTTTATATTGTGGAGATAGTCACCCAGGGGCTCTGGGCACAACCTTCACTGACGGATTATGGATTTCGAGCACAGTTTGCCAGCACCACTGAGCAATCTGTGATGGGAGGGAGACTGGACTTTTCCAGCCATTTCAGAGTTTCATGTCCCTGGGAAGGACTAGGATGTAGGCCATCCTCCTTCAGGCAGCCTGCACCACGGCAACCAGGCCATTTTCTCATTTAGAACATTTGAAACTTGCGGAGGAGGAGTCTCAGGGTGGAGGCTGTTGTATATGCACCTTGCCTTTAAGGTCGTTCTGCTTTAAGAGCTCCGTGTACTGTGTGTATACAATGTTGTGACTCTGCCTGGCGGTTTAATTGCACTCACAGAAGTCAATGGCTTTACTGTACTGTCTGATTCACAACTTATAATGTGTTTTACTGTGTTAAATAAACTAACTCACAGAGTTAATCAACTCTTATTTAAGTGATCGATTATTAGAGGTATTAACATGACAGAGGCTCTCTTTCTCCCCCTCCCCTCTCTCACACACAAAACAAACTGTATTTCCCCCTATTCGATCATTAGTCCAGGAGCAGGATTTGGGGTCAAGACTCTGATCTCAGGGTCAAATGGCGGTCACGACCCCATTCTGATTCAGGGCCCGTCATTGGCAGTCACTGTCCTCTGAATTAGCCAATGAATGGGCAGAGAATGGGCTCCCGGTCCCTTCGGGCTGGCAGACAGACTCTGGGCATTGGAGGGCCAGCAAGAGGCACTGCAGCAGACAGGGAGCAACAGGTTGCAGTTCAGGTAAGAGACAGACAGTGAGAGAGGAGGCGGGCACCTCAAGATGGTGATGGAGGTGTCCACTGTTAACTGGCCTTCAAGTGGGCACCTAACTATGGCTTGCAAATTGGGTCACCCTCCTGTCACCGAACCCAACACCAGAGGAATGACGATGCCCTGCAGCATGGTCCCAGCAAATGTGCGCATCAGTAGCGTGTAACTTGCTCCAGCCCTCCTTAGTGTTTTGCACCTGTATGAGGGCTTACGTCCTGAGCCCATGGTCAAGGGAGAAGGGCAGGGAGAGTGAGGGGAAGGTGACGGGCTAAGGCGAGGCTTCCTTCCATCGATTTCCAAAGGCACCTTTGGTTTTTATTAAGTGTGCATGTTGAGGAACAGGACTTACACAGATACGTGACTTAGGATGTAAAGTACGCCATTCAGCCCTTCAAACCTACCCTGCCATCTAATACGATCATGGCTGACCCATCCGGATTCTGAATTCCCATCCACCCTTTGCTAACCTCCAATCCCACCGCCCCGCCCCCCCCCAGGCCTGACTAGAAGCTATCTACCCCCATCTTAACAAAACTCGGTGATGCCCACCTCCTCCACCTTCTGACGCCGAGCTACCAAAATCGTACAACTCTCTGAGAGAAAAGAGTCCCCAGTCCCCTGCAGGAGTCCAGTGAGACCGAAACTATTCAGAAGGTCAGGCCATGCAGGCACGTTCAGTCAGAGCCAAATGTTTAGCAGCTTCCGAAGAAAAAACGTTGGGAAAAAGTCCTGAACGGCTTAGAGAGAGAGAGGAAAAAAAAAAATCGCAGAAACAGAAAAACTGCTGGAATCTGATGGTGTGGGTAAACTCACACATTTTGTTCCGAAAGTGTTTGGAAGTCAGAAGAAAGCCAGCTCCATGAACCAACTACAGCTGACTGAGGAAGGAACTTTGAAGTGGAGACTGGTTGAAACTTCACTGAAGTTCGGACATCCTGGGGCAGCCATGCGTGCATTGGCAGCTGGTATTGGCAAAACCGTAGCCCAGCAAAAATCCGCCCGTTCGGCCAAAACCATTGACCACCTCCCAAACCCCGCTCCCCCGCCACAATCCTCAGCCCCGACTCAGTCTCACGTAACAAGTTACCTGGAAATTTCCCACCAAGGAACCTCCTATTGCACACAAGCAGCCAGCCACCAGACTTACAATATTCAGCGCCGACTGGTATCCATAGTCTATGACTTGCTGGTACCTGATGACACAAACCCAAATAACTGCAAAGAACAAGAAAGAACGGTTTTAAAAATAAACATCCTTTCCGAAGCATTGAAGCTTCATTCCTCTAGGTCAGGTGAGGGACAAGAAAAGCGCCCTGAGCAGATGACTAAGGGAGATGACGGTGTTGCGATAATGTCACTGGATTAATAGGCCACAGGCCCAGGCTAATCCTGTGGGAAGGAAAGTTTTTTCACTGGAGCATGGGAGTTTGAGGGGTGACATGATAGAGGTTTATAAAATCGTGAGGGTTATAGACAAGGTGATTAGCGAGGGCCTTTTCCCTCGGGTGGGGGAGTTCAAAACAATGATTTTTTTACAATCATGGGAGAAAGATTTAAAAAGGACATGAGGGGCAACTTTTTTACGCAATCTTCTGCTAAATGGCTCCTGTCATTTTAATAAGAAATCTGTGACGTTCGAAAGTCATCTCGGTGACGCTGACTGTGAAAATATCATTGATTATTGCTTAAAACGCAGCTGGTTCACATGTGGTGGTACGGTGGGTCAGTGGTTAGCATTGCTCCCTCACATCACTAGGGACCTGGGTTCAATCCCAGCCTTGGATGGCTGTCTGTGTGGAGTTTGCATGTTATCTGTGTGGGTTTCCTCTGGGTGCTCTGGTTTCCTTCCACAGTTCAAAGATTTGCAGGTTAGGTGGATTGGCCATGCTAAATTGGGGTGGGGGAGGGTAGGTCTAGGGTGGATGTCCTTTGGATAGTTGGCGCAGACTTCATGGGCTGAATAGCCTTTGTATGCACTGATTCTTAATATCCTTTAGGTGAGAAAATCTGCTATCCTTACCTGGCCTGAGCTACATGTGACTCCATACACAGCGCAATGTGGTTGACTCCTTAAGCCGTCTGCAATGGCTGAGCAAGTTATCACTGTGCTGTAAGTCGGTGCTTGCTATGAGCAGATTGCCTACCTCATTTCCCATATTGCCATGTGTGCAGACAGGACAGGAGTCTTTGAAGTTATCATGCCTGCTAATGGCAATCAGAGGATCAAGAAGAGAGGACCTTTTTTCCTCCTCCTTGAAGTGAATAGTAGTACTACAGCTGGTTGCTGATCCTCCAGGATTAGCCTGAAGTCCCCAGGACCAGAATGTTAGTCAGATGTGATTCAGTGGGTAGCGCTGTTACCTCTGAGTCTAAGGATTCCATGTTCAAGTTCCACTCCAGGATCTGATCGGAAACTTGGGTAAGATTTATGTGAGAGGGGGATTGATGGCCTAGTGGTATTATGGCTGGACTGTTAATCCAGACACGCAGGTAATGTTCTGGGGTCCTGGGTCTGAATCCTCCTGTGGCTGATGCCGGAATTTTAAATCCAATAAAAATCTGGAATTAAGAGTCTAATGTTGACCATGAGTCAATTGTCAATCGACTGTAAAAACTCATCTGGTTCACTAATGTCCTTTAGGGAAGGAAACTGCCATCCTTACCTGGTCTGGCCTACACGTGACTCCAGACCCACAGCAATGTGGTTGACTCTTAACTGCCCTCTGGGCAATTAGGGATGGGCAATAAATGCTGTCTAGCCAGCGATGCCCACATCCCGTGAATGAATAAATAAATCAAAATCTCTGTAAACACACCCTGGAGATAAATCATACAGAGGATTTAAAAAGTAGTGGAATTCTTTTCGAAAAATGTTTATTTGACTAATTCTGTCCATTCACTAGAGATGACAGAGATAAGGAGAGAAAGACATTTTTGACTGACTATCCAATCGGAGAATCAATTTTCCAATTGGTTCAGAAAAGCAGGATGAAGAAATGATGGGCAGGTCAGGCGTCCAATAGCATGACATCAGGGACTGGGCAGATTAAAAGGGGAGAAGATGTGATCAATCCTCCAGGAATGCACCCAATCAGAGTTGGCAGTCCTTTTTATTCATACAGAGGATGTGGATGTCTCTGGCTGGGCCAGCATTTATTGCCCATCCCTAAATGCCCAGAGAACAGTTGAGAGTCAAAAACAGAAATTGCTGAAAAACTCAGCAGGTCTGGCAGCATTTGTGACGAGATATCAGAGTTAATGTTTCGCGTCCAGCGACCCTTCCTCAGAACAGTTCTGCTTTCTCTCCACAGATGCTGCCAGACCCCCTGAATTATAGAGTTATAGAGTCATACAGCACAGAAACAGATCCTTCAGTCTAATCCATCCATGCCGATCATGTTCCCAAACTAAACTAGTCCCACGTGCCTGCACTTGGCCCATATCCCTCTAAACCTTTCTGATTCAGGAACTTATCCAAATGTCTCTTAAATGTTGTAACTGCACCGGCATCTACCACTTCCTCTGGCAGTTCATTTCACATACAAACCACTCTCTGCGTAAAAAAGTTGCCCCTCATGTCCTTTTTAAATCTTTCTCCTATCATCGTAAAAATATGCCCCCTCGTTTTGAACTCCCCCACCTGAGGGAAAAGACCCTTGCTAATCACCTTGTCTATAACCCTCATGATTTTATAAACCTCTATAAGGTCACCCACATCCAGACTATCTTCATAACTCAAACTGTCCATTCCCAGCAACATCCTGGTTAATCTTTTCTGAACCCTCTCCAGTTTAATCATACCCTTCCTATAACAGGGTGACAAAACTGTACACAGTACTCCAGAAGAGGCCTCACCAATGTCCTGTACAACCTCAACATGACGTCCCAACTCCTATACTCAAAGATGTGAGTATTGAAGGCAAGTGTGTTAAATGCCTTCTTAACTACCCTGTTTACATGCAACGCAAATTTCAAAGAAATATGAACCCGAACCCCAAGGTCTCTCTGTTCTACAACACCACCCAGGGCCCACCACGAATTGTATAAGTCCTGCCCTTGTTTGTTTTACCAAAATGCAATACCTCACATTTATCCAAATTAAACTCTATCTGCCACTCCTCAGCCCTCCTCAGATCAATATCTCTTTGTAATCTTAGATAACCTTCTTCACTGTCCACTATATTGCCAATTTTGGTGTCATACACAAACTTACTAACCATGCCTCCTAAAATCAGGTCCAAATCAGTCCAGCATTTTCTGTTTTGGTTTCTGATTTCCAGCATCTGGAGTTCTTTGGGTGTTTGGTTAACAGTTAAGAGTCAACCACATTGCTGTGGGTCTGGAGTCACATGTAGGCCCAGACCAGGTGAGGATGACAGATTTCCCTGCGTAAAAATATTTGTTGAACTAATTAAATTTTTAACGACAACGGAAAAGAGGAGAGAAAAGCAACATTATGCCATTGTGCCTCCTGGCTTTCTGTAGTCATGTGTGACCTTTATCATAAGGTACTGACTAGGGACATACTGTGACACATCTCCTTCTGGAATGTGCCTTTGCAAAGGAAGTCTGGAGAGAGATGCTCTGGTCTTTGTCATCCTGAGCAGCTCTATGGTCTGTTCCCCGGGACATACACGAGACAAACATCAATTGCGCCTGGAGAACCATCAACCCGGTGAAAGACCCTCTTTAGTCTGCCCAAAACTTGTTGGTCTTCCAGAGTAAGGAGTTGACCCTGACTGAGTGTTGCAGACTGGCACATTACAAGGCCTAGGGCTACATGCTGAGGGACGCACTAAAGCTTGGGGCAGCTGCTGCCAGGGCACACTGGGGAAAGACCACAGTCTGAGGTCTTCCTGCTGAAGGTAAATGGGGTCCGTTCAGTTGTCTGAGCCTGTAGTTGCCTCAGAATGTATGTAAATATAGTCTTGTACAAGAAAGAAATGCCTTTGGTTTGTTTGGATAGAGTCAAATGCCAATGTTTGTTTGTTTCTTCATATGCTACTGTATAAAACTGAACTGCTTAAGGATGGCACGGTGGCTCAGAGGTTAGCACTGCTGTCTTACAGTTCTAGGGACCTGAGTTCAATTCCAGCCTCAGGTGACTGTCTGTGTGGAGTTTGCACATTCTCCCCGTGTCTGTGTGAGTTTCCTCTGGGTGCTCCAGTTTCCTCCCACAGTCCAAAGATGTGCATGCTGAGTGGATTTGCCATGATAAATTGCCTGTAGCATTCAGGGATGTGTAGATTAGGTGGGTTATGGGGGATGGGTCAGGGTGGGGTGCTCTGAGGGTCAGTGTGGACTTGTTGGGCTGAAGGCCCTGTTCCCACATTGTAGGGATTCTATGATGATGCTTCAGTGACTATGAACAAAAACAAAGTTGCTGGAAAAGCTCAGCAGGTCTGGCAGCATCTGTGGAGGAGAAGACAGAGTTAACGTTTCGGGTCCGGTGACCTTTCCAGCAACTTTGTTTTTGTTCCTGATTTACAGCATCCGCAGTTCTTTTGGTTTTTCTTCAGTGACTATGTATGTGTATACAGATATATTTATGAATGAAATATATTTTTGAAATAAAAAAATCCAAAGGCAGCCAGTGAAAGGCACAGATTGTTGTTTTGAGAGTTTGTAGCACAACCCTAGGCAGACTATTCCCCTGCATCTTATTCTAGTTTGGAAGAAGAGCCATGTTGGACTGGACAGGTTCATTCATCCTCTCTCTCCATAGCTGCTGCCGAGTTCTTCTGACTCGCATTTCTAGCAGCTCTGAGTTTTCACTCTCATTCACTTCCCCTGTTATCAGAGGACCTGCTCTTTGTGAATGCTGTGGCTCTGTCTCACACCGGAAGGAGTTTGGCATCACTGAGCCTCACTGCCCACATTAGGTGCATCTGGAATATTTCTCCCCATGTCCTCTAGAGGATTCCGTGTGAGGTATACTCACCCAGAAAAGACCCAACATTCATCACTTGGCCAAAAATGCAGCTCTGGGGTGGTTCAGCCCCACAAACACTGAGGGAAGAACAGAAAGTCAAAAGTCACCTGTTTGTCGCTCAACCGGCTAGAGCAACGTACATGACGCAGAACTAATAGCACTGTGTGACTATTCTAGGGCTTTCAAGAGGTTTTAAGACTGAGGTGATAAGCTGTTGAATCCAATAAATTAAACGGCTTGTGAGGCCTTGGTTTTTTTTTTAAGCTGGAGCATTAGAAGCAGACTTAACAAGCTCACACAGAACCAGGATTCTTGGTTTTAGTTTTTCAGTAGCAGTTGTTGCTGGGGACTCAAAGCTGGGTTTGGAAGCTGCAGTACATCTCTCCCTGCTACCCTCTCTCTCCCTCTCTTCCTTAGAGTTTTCTCTTGATGTCTTCTATTCCTAACTGGAGAATTGCCCATGAGACTATCTGTTTTACTGAAGTTATGGGATGTTATTATATTGGAACAGATGCTGGTTAGTAGTTAAATGATCTATTATTCTGTTAGGCTTTCCAACAGAGTTAATTATTCCAATTTCTTTTGTTGCATTTTAATTACGATGCATTAATAAAGTGTGTTTTGCTTCAAATCTGGTGGTTTGCCCAATCAAATTGCATCTGGAATGCAACGCCTGGCACTTGCCTTTAAAATAAGAAAAATGTGGGGTCTAGGCTATAATATATGTTGAGGGTTTGATCTGGTCCAAAACAACAGAGACAGGCTGTTTGGCCCAGCAGACTTGTTCTAGCCCATATGCATCTCCTTCCATCCTACACCATTTAACCTTGTCAGCATGTCCATATGTTTCTTCCTTCCTAGTGTGGTTATTTATATTGCCCTTAAATGCACCTATGTCACTTCCCTCAACTGTGAGGGAACTGTTGGTACAGTGGTAATGCCACTGGCTTGGTAATATATAGCCATGGACAGACAGATTCAATCCCCACTGTGGCGATGATTAAAAATCTGGAATTTCTATTTTAGAAAGCTAGCCCAAGGGTGACTGCATAACGACTAGCTATTGTCATTCAAAAAAAAATCTGATTTACTGATGCCCTTTAGGGAATGAAATCTGCCATCCTTACCTGGTCTGGCCCCTATGTGACTCCAGCCCCACATGGACTCTTAAATATGCACAAAATGTTGGCCCAGTCTGCAATGACCACACCCCATGTGGAAAGTTTTAAAACTAAAATAAAACAAAGAACCCGCGGATGCTGGAGATCCGAAGCGAACTAAAGCGGAAATTTCTGGAGAAACTCAGCAGGTCTGGTAGCATCCGTGGGGAGAGAAACAGAGTTAATGTTTCAAGTCCAGTGACCACGGATCCCTGGGGTGTCTTATGAGGAGAGATTGAGGGAACTGGTCTGTGTAGAGCTTTGAAGGAGAAGATGTGATCAATGAAACTTAGAAAACACATGGGGCTAAACAGGGTGGATGCAAACAGGAAGTTTCGCACACGTCGTATTACCTAGAAACATGGGAAATAGTCTCAGAATAAGGACCAAGTCAGGGCCGAGATGAGGAGAAATATCTTCACCCACAGGAGTGGGGAAAGCCAGTGGAACTCACTGCCTCAGAAAGCGATTGAGGCCAAAACTTTATGTGTTTCAAGAAGGAGGTAGATATAGCTCTTGTGGCTAAAGGGATCAAGGGATATGAGGGAAGAGCGGTATTAGGAATTGAGCTCAATGATTAGCCACGATCACATTGAATGGTAGAGCAGGCTAAAGGGGCCAAATGGCCTACTCCTGCTCCTATCTTCTTTGGAACACACATGCCTGTACAAAGTTGGGGCTGCAAGTTACATTGTAGAGAGGCAATGATCAGTTACCCTGCCACCTACACTGGGACGTACCTTGCTTGTCTAGATCATTGGGTTTGAGCGATAACACGATATCTTGGAAGATTTGCAATATGCATCTGTCAGCAGCAACAAAATTACCTGATGTAGGGGAATTCCACAGTAACGTTCACAGAACCATTTACCACCGCCATTCCAAACCTGCAGGGAATTCACAGGCAAAGTCAAAATGGCTTGTTTAATATTTGCATATGACACGAAACAACACAATAAACGAACGAGATAAAATAGCATTACATGGTAATCTGACATTTGGGAGCACTGACGATTTTAAAAGAGTCACAGAACTACACAATGACACAACCATGAATTGGGCATAACATGATAACCAAAGCCCAAAGGTTGGAGGTGAAATTTGACGATAATTAAACTGCTGTGAGAAAGAAATGTGTGCCTGTCCAAATGAATGGAAACTCAACCACTTGTTAAAAGGAAGATACTGACATTGCTTTCAAAGAAAGCCTGGCATTTATATAGCACCTTTTTACAACCTCGATGAATCCCAAAGTGCTTGACAGCCAATGAAGTACCTTTGGAGTGTCATCATCTTTGAGTGTCAGACAGATTGCTATCAACTTATACAGGTTCGGGGCTGCAGATGTCTTGGAGAGGTACGTGAAGCAATAACTTGCTGATTCAGAGGTAATGGCTCTATCAGCTGGTCCTCAAGAGCTGAACAGAGATTGAACACGCTAAACTTAAACCTAATTTTGGTAGATATGAGTCAAGAATGTGGGGAAACAGGATGGGAGTTAGCAAACAGTTGCCCTGACTCCGGTATAAGAAATACAGTAACACAAGAGGAATTCTCAGTAGGAACAGAGAGAAGAATTGTTAAGAAGGTTCAATGATTGGGTCTACGTTGTGGAAGTAAAGTGATCTCTTTAAGATTAAACCGTGCCTAGACTAAGAAGGTGATGTAATCTTGGCTGCTTGCAGAACAACATGTCCTGGAACCAACCAGGGAACAGGTTATTTTAGACCCTGTAATGAGACAGGTTTAATAAGTGGCCTCAAGCCGCAAAGGATCCTCCAAATAGGAGTCAACATGGATGCCTCAGAAACCAGGTATTACCACTCAGTGTGAGACACAAACCACCCCCCGCCATCAACAACCCACAAGGACAGCAGAAACCCACTAAGAAAGCCATCAGCAAACACATAGAGCTAGACCCCATGTACCCTCCATTGCGAAGGAAAACAAGAAGTGAGATAACACAGAACAACGGATGCCAGAGTTTAAATACCAGGCGGGAAAACGCAACAGCACCTCATTGGAGGCTGCACTGATGATGTTACCCAGCAGGGAAATGAAACATCTGCGGAACAACGAACCAGCTTGGCGAGCCAACCAACCTCAACACCCACAACCCAAGCTACAAATCTACTCTAAAACATTAGAGTCAACATAACAAGATGCAATTTCACAAATCAGTCTGACGATGCAAAACGTGGGCCTGGAGAAATCACAGCACGTAAGGAGACCATTCAGCCCGCTGTGTCTTGTGCTGGCCCTGCGAACGAGTGATTCCCTCAGCGCCAATCTCCTATCTTCTCCCCCACATTTTAAAATAATAATCTAGCTCGCTCTTGAATGCTTTGGTCAAGTCTGCCTCCACCAAGTTTTCAGGATATGCAATCAATGAACGTTAAATAAAGGGGTTTATAAAGCTATGAAGACAAAGTGGACTGAATAGTTAGGTTAAAAGATACAGCAGTGGAGGAGCAATGGCGAATGTGTCGGGGATCTTTCATTCAGTTATACAGGGCATTGGTGAGACAACAGCTGGAGGGCTATACACAGTATTGGTCTCTTTATTAGAGGAAGGATGTAAATTGGAGGCAGTTCAGAGAAAGCTTGTCAGACGAATCCTAGAATTGGAGGGTTGTCCTGTGGGAGAGGCCGGGGTTTTGGAAGAGTTAGTGATGACCTGATTGAAACATATAAGAGATGAGGTGTCCTGACACCTTGGACGTGGACAGGATGCTTCCACCTATTAGAGAATCTAGAATCCCTCAGTGTGGAAGCAGGCCATTTGGCCCATCGAGTCCACACCGACCCTCCAAAGAGTATCCCACTCAGACCCAACCCTGCAATTCCCATGGCTAACCCACCCCGCCTGCACACTGTGGGCAATTTAGCACAGCCAATCCATCCTAACCTGCACAACTTTGGACTGTGGGAGGAAACCGGAGCACCCAGAGGAAATTCACGCAGACAACAGGGAAAGCATGCAAACTCCACACAGACAGTTGCCCGAGGGAATCGAACCCAGGTCCCTGGCGCTGTGAGAACCACTGAGCCACCATGCCACCCTAGAACTAGGTGCTATGGTGTAAAAATGAAAGGGCCACCTTTTTAAAACAGATGCGGTCACAAGTCTTTGGAACTCTCTTCCTGAGGATCCTCTGAATGTTTTTAAGACAGCAGCTGACATATTCTGGGTGAGCAAGAGGGTGAAAGGTGATCGGGATAGACGGAAATGTGGGTTTGAGGTTACAGTCGGATTAGCCATGATCTTACTAAATGCTGTTAGCAACGCTTGGGGGCCTCTTCCCCTTCTTTGTAGGTTAATATAAGTCTCTACAAAAGATACATTCTGTTCAGAGAATGGCTGTACAAGAAGAAAGCAGCATCAATGGCTAACAAAGGGAGCTAAGAATGCTATTAAGTTGAAAAAGAAAGATGGACAGTGCTGCAAAGATTATTGGTAGACCAGGAGATTACAGATATTTGGGGAAACAGCAAAGCTAATGAAGAGGTGCTGAGTGGTAGTCCTTCAGAGGATGACACCCGGGTATTAATATTGGGAAATGAGGAAATGGCAAAGACTTTGCACAATTATTTTGTACATCACTCTACAGTACAAGACACAGAAAGGATCCTAAGAATAGTAGAAAAGGAAAGGCAAAAGAAAGAAGGTACAATCCCACAATCACTAGGCATTAAGGACCGGGAAAGCTAATGGGAAAAAAGACAAGACCACTAGCCTGCATCCTAGAGTCTTATAGAGTTACATGGCACGGAAACAGACCCTCTTCTCCAACTCAGAAGAGGAATGGATCGGTTGAGATCTTTTAAGTATAATTTGTCCTTGGCACTGGCTAAGGCGCATTTATCACCAGCTCCAAGATGCCGTGAGACTTGCGCCCTTGAGCCAGTGGGATCATGGCAGATTGATCTAGAAAGGGAAGTGCTGTGGGTTGGGCTGTTACAGCAATGCAACAGCCTGCTATAGTTGTTTTTACACGTGGAAGGAGACTGGATGGGAAGGGGGTGAAGCAGTGCACTGGAACCTAATGTTCTGATTGTTGATTTTGCCTGGAGTTGAGAAGTGAGTGCCATGGTAACGTACATAAATACGACGTGCACGAGTGCTCAAAGCATACTTACACAGCCCAGCAGCCTCCTGCTGCACTGACTACGAGCAAGATGGGAAGAAAGGCCCATCCCCACATCCTTCAGAGTCTGAAACAGATTGCAAACCGGTGGTTACTCAGTAATACAATCCCACCCATTACCAGACCCTTTCTCAAGCAATTGCTCTTTTCATGGTGCAACTTGGTGTTACACAATGCATTTGGGTTCTTTACAGACTGGTCAAAGAGAAGGCAAAGTCAAGAACTGTCCTGGGGTTTAGCTTTTAAAGTAACGTTATTTATGATACATTAATACGAAGTACTGCTGTACGTGGTAGTCATAGATATACCAGGCTTTTATCTTATAGTTACGTTAGGTAACGCTAATCTACCTTCTTTCTGTGTTCACACCTCTCTGTTCCTGAGTCTGGTTGTTGGAATCTGATGGTGTTCTTCCAGAGCTGTGTTAGCTCTGCCCACACCGTGGTAGTTACACTCATTAAGGTGCTGTTCTATGACATTATCACAAGGCGACTCCAGGACCCTAATGACCTCACCCAACGGTCGCCTGTGTACCTTGCCACGGGAAATCTTCCCGAGAGGTTAGCCCTCGACTAAGAAAGCCAGTGTCAAATTGTCAGCTGGCTTTTGGATTGGATTACAAAGCCCCATCCAACTGATCCCCGGAATGGCAGGATTGTCCTATCAGGAAAGAGATTGAGGAAACTGGGCCTTTATTCCCCAGGGTTTTCGAGAATAAGGGGCGATCTCGTTGAAGCAGCAAAATTCTTACAGGTTTCAACAAAGAAGATGTACAAAGGACATTTCCCCTGGCTGGGACACAGTCTTAGAATGAGAGAAAGGCCATTGAGGATTGAGATGAGAAGGAATTCCTTCACTCAGAGCGTGATGAATCCTTGGAATTCTTTACCCCAAAAGGGCTGCGGAGGCTCAGATATTGTGTACAAGGCAGAGAGCAATGGATTTCTACAATTTGAAGATGTCAAGGGAAACATGACTGGTGAGGCAAATTGGCATTGAAGAGGAACATCAGCCAAGACCTTATTGAATGGCAGAGCAGCCTCAAGGGGCTGAATATCCTGCTCCTGGTTGTATTTCCTATGTTCCTGCCTCGAGATTTTAGCCCAAATAAACTCAGTGTTTAGAACAAGCTCGTTGCCCCGGTGACCGTTGCGTGATTTAAAGATTGTGAGCATTACTGTCGAGATATCTTCAGCAAAATCCACAACAAAACTCAAGCCAAAAATCCAGGCTTTTGTTCAATCTTTGCTGCAGAGAAAGCTGACAACCCATTCATTGAACAAGCCTAAACGGTTATGTTGACAATCATACGGAGTTCGGGAATTTCCTTTCACAGATGTACGGAGAGGCACAGGATAGCTGGGTACAATTTATTTATTCGCTCACAGGATAGTAGGCAATACAGACGACATTAGCCTTTATCACCCATCCCTCACTGCTCCTTGGGAAGGTACTGGTGAACTGCATGCAGTTCCTTGTGCTGTAGTACTGTTAGGGAGGTCATTTCAGGCTTTTGACCCAATAGCAATGAAAGAATGGCTTTATCTAGACAAATCAGTTGATTTCTCTTGCCTTTTCTCTGTCAATTTCTTCTTTCTCCTCTCTCCTGAAGGTTTTGCTCCCTGTCTGAACACACAGTGCCAGGGCTTTCCTTTGATAGCTTTCAACACGTGGCTATTATTCAAGTGGTTGGGTTTAGTGTTGAACCTCACCTGTTTGCAACATTAAGAACATTAGAA